CCCGCACACCACGTGTGTGCACGAAGCGCTGCACACGTGGCCGCTTGGAGCAAACAGAGCCCGAGCCCCTGTTCCCACGCACCCGCCGTGTCCTGGTGGTCACGCCAACCCCTCTCCTGGGGACCGTTCACCCTGGTTAAGGACGAACCTCCGTCGGTTGGTGGGAGCATCATCCCGTCACCAAAAGTCTGCAAGTTGCATCCGGGTCAGGGCACGTGCTTGGGTGGTGGGTCCGATCCCCGGTCAGGCGTGAATGGGAGGCAACCGAGCGATGTTTCTCTCTCACATTGATGTTTCTATCTCTCTCTCCCTTCCTCTCTCTGTAAAAAATCAATGAAAACATATTCTTGGGTCCGGCCGGTGTGGCTCAGGGGTTGAGCGTCGACCCTGCACCCAGAGGGGGCTCCCTTCCGCCTCCCTGTCCCGGAAAATCCAGGAGCCTCAGTGGACGGAACACGCTGATCGCGGGATGGTCTGTGGATGAGTCTGCTTTTCCCCAAATCACTACAGACCTGAGGGTCCGACGGTCAGCAGCACAAATCTAGCCCTTGTTCTGGACCAGGGATTAGATGCTCACGCTTTGTAACGAAGGAGACCACACTGGGGGCTTAAACCACAGACATTCATCCTGTCCCCGTCCTGGGGAGCAGACGTCTGAGACAGGGTGTCCAGGGCCGCGCTCCCTCCGAGGCTCCAGGAGGGTCCCTCCGGCCTCTTCCGGCTCCTGGGCTCCAGGGGTCCCTGGGCGGGGGGCCCGTCCCTCCCGTCTCTCCTCCGTCCCCACAGGGCTTCTCCTCTGCGTCTGTGTCTCCTCTCCTGTCTCTTCCAAGGACCTGTCACTGGACAGAGGCCCCCCTGACCCAGGACGGCCTCCGCTCAGGTCCTTCACGGACCCCGTCTGCAGAGACCCTGTTTCCAGATGAGGTCACATTCCGAGTTCCTAGACGTCAGGATCTGGACACATTTTGGGGGGCCACCATTCGCCACAGCCCACCCTCTTCCTGCCGTATTCTGACCACAGAATTCAGCGATGAAATTGGTGGTTGTTTCGGGGTCACTGTTCCCAGAGCCGTGAGCACACAGACGGGCACCCCTTCCTCACACAGCCCAGGACTGAACTCCTGAAGCACCCCATCAGCAGAAGGGCTCTCGTCCTGCCGTTCACGAGCCCCCGTCTCCAGGAGCCTCCATGGGGGAAGGCAGCTGCCCCAAACCTACGTGGGAGCTGGCCCACCTTCTCTTACAAAGAGGTGACTTCGCATCTCCCTGTATAAACAAACTCGGCCTCACAGCGGCCCGGGTGGGATGACGCCAACGGACACACACACACGAAATTAAACATGAGGCTTCGGTTTCAAAACCGGGGTGCAGAGGGGAGAGCCTGAAAAAGCCGGTTGCCAGGGCAAGGGACGCGGAGGAGGTGGACGCCCGCTGGGTGAGCGTCTGCACGCCTCTGGGATAAGCGTGGACGAGAAAATGGCCCGCAGGCTCGGGAGGCTCGTAGACCGAGGCAGGTGGGAGGCAGGCCAGGTGGACTTCCCAGGGGTGTCTGTGCTCCTGTGAAAACTGGGATCATGTCGCGATTGGGAGGTTGTATCAACCGTCCCGCAAACCACACCTGCGTGGGACGGACTCAGTATATCGAGGAAGCCACAGTCGGGACGTATCACGATGAGCAGCTGTCATTACAGTCCATTGCGGAAAATTTCATCACCACGAAAAGAAAGCCCTCCCCTGTCCTAAGACGCTGATAATTCACTTTCTGTCTGTAGATGTGCCTGTGCCAGACGTTGTATATAAATGAAATCACACACTCTGTGGTCTTTGGCGTCTGGCTTCTGTCACTGAGCCTCCTGTGTTTACGATCCATCTACGTGGAGCCTGAGAGAGCCTCACTCCTTTTCCTGGCTGCGTAATACTCCACTGCGTGGATAAACCTCATTGTGTGTGTCCGGTTACCAGCTCATCGACACTTGGGTTGTTTCTATCATTTAGGCTATTATACGTGATGCTACTATGGATGTTCCAGCAACCGTTTTTGTGTGGACATATGTTTTTCATTACCTTGGGTAGATACCCAGAGTCACAGAGTAAGGTTATGCGTCATCGTTCGAAGAGCTTCCAGCCCGTTTTCCAATGCAGATCATCTTCCTTCCTTCATTTCTCTTTTCTTCCTGTCTAACCACCTGTTACCTATCATCTATCTATCTACCTACCCATCTAACTATACATTTCTCTTTTCTATCTATGTATCTATCCATCCATTCCTCCATCGTCTGTCGATCTATGGCAGCGGTTCACATCTGGGGTTGGTTTACCCCAAGAGGACAGTGGTGAACATCTGGAGATCCTTTTATTTGTCGGCAGTTGGGTTGGGAGCTCCTGGTACCTGGTGGGTGGAGACCAGCAAGCCTGCTCCACACCTACGGTGCGCGGGACGCCCCGTCAGAGACTCACCCAGCCCAGCGCCAGTAGTGAAAAGTGCTCTGAAGAAAATCAGCCCGGCCGGTGTGGCTCAATGGACTGAGCACCGTCCCAGGGACTGAGAGGTCCGGGTTCGATTCCCAGTCAGGGCACATGCCCGGGTTGTGGGCTCGATCCCCAGTGGGGGGCGTGCAGGAGGCGGCCAGTCGATGTTTCTCTCTCACATCCTGTTTCTACCCCTCTCTCCCTTCCTCTCTCTCTAAAACATCAATAAAACATATTTTTTCAAAAATAAGAAAGCCCACAACCACGAATTTCCACCACGTGCTTTTCTGTTGCTGACGCCCCCGGTGTTGAGTCTTGGGCCACAGTCACCACATCCAGGCACCCCCCAAAGGCTGCCCGATAAGAAGCCCCGAGGAGAAGGGCACAGGTGGTGGGAACGTCCCGCTGGAACAGAGCAGGGGCCTAGACACAAGCCCTTTCCAGTGCGCCCCTGTAACTCTGGGAGAATGAAGAGGGGTGAAGAGAAAACTCGGGGAACAGCCGAGCGGAAAGAGGGCCCCGGGGATGGTTGAACTCCCAGCGCAGAGCGGGGCCTGGACGCCGAGACAGACGGCTCTCCTGGGGCAGCTGGGATCCGTAGCGCTGGCCCCGGGGACTCCAGGGCCGACCGGGCAGCTCGCCCGCTCAGGAAGCCTCATTACCGCGGCCGAAAATACACACGGACCCCGGGGCCACGCGGAGGGGAAGCCACGGCTAACGAGCTGGCTGGTGGCTGGTGGGAGCTTCATCAAAGGTCCGGATTCTGGGGCAAAGCAACCCCCTGCGGGGATCCCCAACACCCTCTGCTCACCGGCCTCAACACACAGCACAGGCTCCTCTGCCCTTTCATCTCCCACTTTCCCGGCGAATGTCATGGCCTTTGAGTTCAGAAACACAGGCCGCCACCCCCGGAGACCGTCCCCTGAAAGACACGGAGCCTCACGAATCCGCTTCCGTTGAACTGGGACCAGAAAATAAAAGGGCAGAGCTGGGGCCGGCGGAGACGGGGACGTGTCCTCGTGGCTGAGGGGGGTGTACACTCGCCGCTCGGGCGGCTTTCCGAGGGGACAGGGAGGCCACCGCAATGTCAGGTCTCAGGACAGCAACACGCGTTGAGGGGAAGACAACGCGTTTCCACAAAGGCTGCGGGTTGACCAGATGGTCGACCAGAGGATGGGGCAACAGTGCCCCCTGCTGTTTGTTGTGAGGATTGCGTGTCCACGCCTGGTCACACCTGCTGAGAAGTAATCGCCTGCAAATAACAGTCCCAGCCCTGCAGTCACCTCTGCACAGTGTCCTCGAACCCTTCCCACCCCCAGATCCCCTCCTCCACTTGGAGGTCCCCCCCATCCCTGGGGGACCTGAGCCAGCCTCCGGTGGACTGTGGATCTGGTACGTTCCTGTTCCTCCGGCTTGGGGTACGGGGGTGGGTGGGGTGATCTGTCCCAGGGGCTGGAGGATGAGAAGGGGGGTTATTACGTAAGGGGTGTGCGTGTCAGTTTGGGGAGAGGGCGGGGTGGATATATAACAAGGCAGCTGAGCTTAACACTCCGAATCGTGTCGTTGCGTCATCACCATGAGCCTTGGCCGGGGTCGGCCGTTGGAGCATCAACCTGAGCACCAAAGGTCGGCGGGTTCGATTCCCGGTCAAGGGCACGTAGCTGGGCTGTGGGTTTTACTCCCCGTTCCCTGGGCGCAGGCGGGAGGCAACCAATGGCTGTCTCTCTCCGTGATGTTTCTTTCTCTGTCTCTCGGTCTCTCTAAAAAAAATAATCCGTGGGAAAATATCCTCGGGTGAAGAAAGACAACAACAAGAAATAGTTATTAAAACGAGACAGGGGTTGGGGGTCTGGGAGAAAAAGGGGGAGGGCTTAGAAGGACAGGTGGGCAGGTACAGAACAGTCACGGGGTGTCGAGTACAGGGAATATGGTCAATACTATTCTCACGGCTGTGTGTGGGCAGCACTATGTACAACAGCTAAGATCTGGAGACAGCCCAAGTGTCCATCAGTAGACGAATGGATAAAAAAGCTGTGGTACATGTATACAATGGAGTACTATGCAGCCATAAAAAAGAAAGATCTCTTATCCTTTGAGACGACATGGAGGGACCTGGAGAGTATTATCCTAAGCGAAACAAGCCAAACAGAGAAAGACAAGTATCATATGATCTCACTTATCTGTGGAATATAATGAACAGAACAGTCTGAGGAATGGGGTAGTCCCAGAGACGTGGAAGTGGGGTACAGACTGACAATCCCCAGAAGAGGGGGTGGTGGGGGAGAGACACCCACAGAACTTATATGCATGTGTGCATGAACAATGCACATGGACAACAAAGCTGGGGATGGGGCGGGGGGGATGGGGAGTGGGGTGTCAGTGGGGGAAAAAGGAGAAACATTTGTAAAAAAAAAATAATAAATAAATAAATAGATAGAAAATAAAAAATAAATAAAAAGGGGGAAAAGTAATTTAAAAATTAGAATTCAATGGATAAGACAGAACACGTTTGCTGCATTTATTTTGCCACCCGAAGAGGAAAAAACAGCCGTGTCCAAGCTGAGTGAAATGATTCTGGCCACGAAAGACTCATACCGTGGGGTCCTGCTGCTACGTGGAATCTACATGGAAACGCACACAGACACACTCTCTGACCCGAACTCACGGACACAGAGAAGAGATGGGTGGTTCCCGGGATGGGGGTGAGCAGAACGGATGGAGGGGGTGAAAGGTACAAACTTCCAGGTCTAAGTCCCCAGAAACGCAAGTTGCCGGACAGATAATCACGAGGAAGGATTAGCCTCAGGGAGGCCGTCTGCCTGTAACCGTGTCTGGCTGCCGATGGCCCAGGCAGACCTGGGGGCATCACTTCCTGGCCAGGACGGCATCGTAAGTGCCCCCGGTCCTCTGGCACAGGACGTCCCGGAAGCCGGCGGCGGCCAGCAGCGCGCGGTACTGGGCGGGGGTCCGCTCCCGGCCCTCGGTCTGCACCAGCATGTTGAGGGAGTAGAGCTGTGTGGTCAGAGGTCCTCTCCCGTCGGCGTCCAGCAGGCTTTCAATGACCAGGACACCACCACCTGCAACAGGGACAGGCGGGCATGAGCGAGGGACGGCCACCCCGAGGACGCACAGCCTCCTGCTCCCCTCTGCAGGACCCCGGCCCCTCTGCCCTGAGCACCTGTGTGCTCACCGTGCTCACCCCGAACCTGATCCTGCTCATTCAGCCGCCGCCTGCAAGCAAGCCCTTGGGCGCTGACCAGGTCTGCGTAAGTGACCAGAGGTGTGTGTGCATGTGTGTGCATGTGTTTGCGCATGTGTGTGCATGTGTGCACATGTGTGTGCAAGTATGTGTTTGCATAAATGTGCATACATGTGCGTGCATGTGCATGCACATGTGTGCAACTATGTGCGTGCATGTGTGTGCATGTGTACGTGCATGTGCAAGTATGCGTTTGCATAAATGTGCATGCATGTGTGCATGTGCGCATGTGTGCAAGTGTGTGTGTGTGCATGTGCGTGTGTGTGCATGTGTGTGCGTGTGTGTGCAAGTATGTGTGTGTTTGCATGCATGTGTGTGCAAGTATTGTGTGTGCATGCATGCGTGTGTGTGCAAGTATGTGTGTGTTTGCATGTGTGTGCGTGTGTGCAAGTATGCGTGTGTTTGCATGCACGTGCGCATCTGTGTGCATGTGTGTGTGTGTGCGCAAACGCAGCCGCCCCCACCTGGCCCCAGGTGAAGGGTGTAGGAAGCAGAGCTGTGATCACGGTGGAGGACGAGTGACCCGAAATGTGCGGGCAGGAGGCTGGCCAGGCTCCCTTCACCGTCAGAAGCCTTCCAGCCCGGCCCGTGTGGCTCAGTGGGTTAGAGCATCGACTCATTCACCGGAAGGTCGCAGGTTCGATTCCCGGTCAAGGGCATGTACCTGGGTTGCCGGCTCCATCTCTGGCCCCAAATGGGGTGCGTGCAGGAGGCCACCCATAGGTGTTTCTGTCTCCCATCAATGTGTGTCTCTCTCTCATTGACGTTTCTCTCTCTCTGTCTCTCTCTCTCTCTCTCTCCCCTGGTCCATCTCTCCCTTCCACTCTCTCTGAAATTAATGTGAAAAAAGACTGTCAGGTGAGGATTAAAAACAAGCAGAGGAGACTTTCAACCCTCTCATCATGCGAAGCCTCGGACAAGCCCTCACACAACCCTCCAGGGCCGACTACTAAGCCCCAGCTGACAGCCATCTCCGGATTATGAGCTCTAGATAAAATATTTAATCTTTCCCTCGAAGATCAAATGCCCAGAGCATGTCTGACGGCACCCAGGGCGCGTGGGGTGTGGACACGTGGTCCGTTTCCGGGCGGCCACCGTCTCTCAGCGGGACCACCTGCCTCCAGGGTTCGTGACCACGACCGAGTTGGTGACAGACTGTTGGTCGGTAGCCATGGGGTAATGTGGACACAAGGGGCCCTCTGCGTCCACAGCCGGCGTCCACGGGAAAACACCCGGTGACTTCAACAGGACTCTGGGCTTTCCAAGGAGGGAAATAGAATCGTCTGCACCCAAATGCATGAAGGTGCAAAAAGAATGCGTGAATTTGCTAAATGCATTTCCTAGGTCTCCCCAGAGAAGGGGTCCAGACATGGTGACCCCAGCAATTAGCAATGCCACATCTTCAAGGACCACAGGAGAAAAGGACCTCAGAGGACATCAGGGCAGTGTCCCCCTCACACAGAGGCTGTGCCCACCTCCTCATGGACCATCAGGGGGGGACCTCAGAGAACATCAGGGCAGTGTCCCCCTCACACAGAGGCTGTGCCCACCTCCTCATGGACCATCAGGGGGGGACCTCAGAGGACATCAGGGCAGTGTCCCCCTCACACAGAGGCTGTGCCCACCTCCTCATGGACCATCGGGGGGACCTCAGAGGACATCAGGGCCGTGTCCCCCTCACACAGAGGCTGTGCCCACCTCCTCATGGACCATCGGGGGGGACCTCAGAGGACATCAGGGCCGTGTCCCCCTCACACAGAGGCTGTGCCCACCTCCTCATGGACCATCGGGGGGGACCTCAGAGGACATCAGGGCAGTGTCCCCCTCACACAGAAGCTATGCCCACCTCCTCATGGACCATCAAGGGGGGACCTCAGAGGACATCAGGGCAGTGTCCCCCTCACACAGAGGCTGTGTCCACGCCCTCATGGGCCACCTGCATGACCACCCTTCACAGGACAGCTGGATGCGCAGCCCCATCGCACAACCTACCCGGCGGGCAGGCCCGATGGATTCTCGCCAGCAGGTATGAGCACCGGTCATCGGTCCAATCATGCAGGACCCTGGCCAGGACGTAGAGATCCGCCTCCGGAAGGGGGTCCTCGAAGAAATCTCCTGCAACACAGGGTGGGGCCCCAGTCGCTGTGCCGTGCCCAGCACCCCGCAGGCAAAGTCCACCTGGGAGACTGAGCCCCCCCACATCTCCCCAGCGAGTGAGCCCCAGACCCGGCCCTGGACCAACAGAAGCCTCAGGGGAGATGACACAGACCTGAAGATGTTCGGGCCCCTGTCCCTCCGTCCGATCTGCAAACTAATTGTATTTTTAATTCATTTCCCAAGTGCCCTCGGCCCTGCACTTCAGAAGGTCTCCGTTCACCTGTTGGCCAGCAGGTCCCGTGTGATGAGTCGAATGGAACCCACAGGCTACACACATATTCCTGATTGAAAAGAAATGACCCCGAGAGACCTTCACGACCAGCTGGGGTCAAACACTCAAGTCTCACAGCGTGTTTCTTGCAAAACAAGGATCAGTTTTGAGAGAAATCTCGGGTAGCCCCTGGCCGACAGGGTTCACTCACGGGGCCTCTGTGCACCGAAATCTGCAAACTCGCAGGACGACGCTTTGGGTGATGTCATTGACTGTGTCCAGAATCTCTTCCCTGGGAGGGGGCACATGGGGTGCTGAACCCCATTTTGCCATTCCAGCGCTCGGTGGGTGGTCCCGTTCACGTCTGAATCAATGACTGTTCTGTGATCTTGTCTTCAGTGCACGTCATTTATTCCCGTTCATGAATGCTTTAGATTCAGATGTCTGAATGGGGTTCCTGGGGCTATTGTAACCAAGTGCCCCCTGCTGGAGGGGCTTAAAAATAGACATGCACCGTCCCCGTCCTGGGGAGCAGACGTCTGAGGTGGGGTGTCCCAGGGCCGCGCTCCCTCAGAGGCTCCAGGAGGGTCCTTCCGGCCTCTTCCGGCTCCTGGGCTGCAGGCGTCCCTGGGCGGGGGGCCCGTCCCTCCCGTCTCTCCTCCGTCCCCACGGGGCTTCTCCTCTGCGTCTGCGTCTCCTGTTCTGTCTCTTCCAAGGACCCGTCATTGGACGGAGGCCCCCCTGACCCAGGACGGCCTCCGCTCAGGTCCTTCACGGACCCCGTCTGCAGAGACCCTGTTTGCACATAAGGTCCCTGCACAGATTTTGGGTGGACACACATCCCGAGGGGACGCCGACCCAACCCACACAACACTCGAGAATAGAACCCACCCCACGGAAACCGTCGGCCGTTAACAGCATGTCCCGTCCGTCATGACGCACTTGCACGGACGGTGGGGCTGTGGAGGGCGGAGGAGTCACCCGGACGCCCCCCGTCGGCCTGTCCCAGCCCCTGGGATGCACCGCGCCTCCCCGCGGACACAGCACACGGAGACCCACCTTCCTGGAAGCTGATGCGTTCTTCCCCCGCGACCAGGAAGTGCGCCTTCGCTGCCTGAATGACGGCGGGGATGTCGAACACGGTGACCCGACATCCTGGGTACAGGGAAACGCACTCCTTGGCCAGGGCCCCAGAGCAGCCTAGAAGTGGACACAGAGAGCGCTGGGCAGGGACGGGCCTGGGAGCCGCCCCCGGAAACACCGAGCGTCCAGGCGGGGGACTCGGTCGTCATGGTCACCACGTCATCCACATGCCCCCGAGTCTACATGGTCTTCCCGGCTGGCCCGACCTGGGAGCCAGCCTCCAACAGAACCTCTGGGCGGACCGTGTCCTCCTGGGGCCGGGGCGTCTGTCCACCAGGGCAGGCAACAAGCAGGAAGAAAGGCGGCCCCCCGCAGATGCCCCAGGAACATTTCCAGGGACCTCCCCGATGAGGACCCTTCTAGGTGCGACCCCATGCGTATCCGGGGTCCAGCAGACCTCCCCTGGCACCCCTGTTTTGTGTGTCCACCCTGAGGTGCCCCCCAGGGAAGACAACGCTGTATTCTTGTCTTGTTTACAGAAATCATGACCTTGGAGCAAACGCCCCTTCCTCAAAGAGCCTCCCGAGACCCAGAGGCGACCGGATGCAGACGCACATTCCATGAGCTCTCCCCCATGTCCCAGGGAAACTGAGGCTCGGAGATGCCAAGCAACCTGCCCGAGGGCCCCCAGCAAGCAAGAGACCAAAACGGCTTCTGGATCCAGGGTCCACCCTCCCCACCGTGGTGCCCACGGAGAACACAGGGACCAACTGGGGCCAAGGACGGTCTTGCTCAGGGAGCTGCCCCCGTGCCACAGGATTTGGGGGCACCCCTCCGAGCTGAACACCAAGGACAGGGGGCCTGCTGAACGGGCCTTGCACCCTGACTTCATCACCAGCAGCTCAGCCAAAGCCCCGGGGCTTCGCGTGGCTGCAGGATGGAGTGGGGCTGGGGAGACCCAGCAGGTGCCCCGAATCAAATCCTTCTTAGCAGGGGCTCCAGCTTCCTGCTCCTTGTCTGTGGGAAGGCAGCCCCATGGGGCACTGAACACGGGGATTTGCTTCGGACAGACAGGGGCCACCTCATGGTGTGGCCACTTCTACCTCAACGGAGCCCCCACTGCTATCCTTTAAGACGAGGCGGAGGAACAGTCACCCGCTCCTGACCTTGATTGAGGACCTGCCCCCCCAAAGCAGGGAACCCTCAGAAGATGCTCAAGTCAAGGCTGAGCGTCCTTCTCATCCGCCTTAGCATCGGAACACGAGGTTCCTCAGCGGAGGGTGACGTCGGCCCCCCAGAACCCAGAAATCTGTGCCGATGCTCAGACAGCCTCAGGCCTCCACTCGCTGCGTGAGGGGACAGGACCACACCTTGGATGAAGGCGCCCGTTCTGAGGCTGAACGAAGCCGTTGACGACAGCGGTGTGGTCCACTTCTGGTCACACCAGTATCGCTGGGAGCTTGTCAGAAACTCCCAGTCCCCCCGAGACACCCCGGGTCAGGGCCTCCGCGGGTGGGGCACCCGTGTCAGAAGAATAGCAGGACCCACAGGGGACTCTGCCGGTCCTCACAGGGACAACCGTGGTTCTTCCGATGTTGCTAGTTGGCTCCAGAGGGACAAGCCAAGGCTGTGCCAGCCTTCAGGATGTGAGGGGAAGACCTTCCCCCCGTCCTAAGGAGGTGTCCGTGCCGTCGCTTCATAAGGGTACAGGGCACCGTGAGGGCGAGGGTTTGGACGCTCCCCACACAGAAGTTTAAACGCAGCTGCAACATCTGGAGAACAGACTCACCGCCGAGGTCGCAGACGCGAGGGAACGGGGACAGGTCGAAGGCCGCCAAGACGCTTCTCCCATGCACACTCCAGATGTCCTGCAGGCCGCGCATGAACAGCAACCGCTCGCCCTCGGACCTGGGTGCGAGACCACGCCGGTCACAAAGGCCACGCAGCACCCAACGTGGCCACCGTGAGCAGGACGGGGCGCCCTCTGCTGGCAGCGCTGTGCCCGCCCTCCGATCAGCGTGGACCTGGTGCCGTGGGTCCGCCTTGCGGTAGGAACATCTCCTTCCGGACGGCGAGAGCCCTGCTCGCTGCCAACCTACGCCCAGCTCCTGGAGCGTGGTTGCGACAAACCGTCTTTGGAAGTCACGACGGACCACCACCTCCCTCAGAACAGAAGGCAGATGCTTTTCCGTCAGAGGAAACAAGACGGTGTCCCGCACCCCACGTGGCACAGGGCAAGACGACCTGGTCGGCTTTGCGAGTCCACAGGTGCTTGGGCAAGGCTTCCGAATGGTGGGGTCTGGGGAGGTGGGCAAGGGACTGCGGGATGGGGAGGGGTCGCGGAAGGGAGCGGAGGTGACGAAGAGCAAGGGTGACGGGTGGGTGAGGAGCTGGACATATCTCCTGTGTGCAGGACACTCCCTGCCCTTCCTCATACTTCCTCTCGCCTCTGCCCCCTCTCTGGAGCCAACGGTGTGAGTGTGGTCTCAGCGCAGGGAAGAGAGAGAGGAAGGCAGAAGAGTCATCCGGTTCCAATCGTCAACCGTGCCGAAGCTGAGAAACCCTGTCTCAGCATGACAGAGTCATATCTGTCTCTCTGTCTCTGCTAGCCATTCTCCGTCTATCATCCACCCATCCATCCATGTATCTATCTATCCATCTATGTATCTATTCTCCATCTATCATCTATCTATCTATCTATCTATCTATCTATCTATCTATCTGTCTTTATCATCCATCCATCTATGTATCTATCATCTATCTACCCACCTATGTATCTATCCTGCATCTATCATCCATCCATCAATCCATCATCTATCTATCTATCTATCTATCTATGTATCTATCCTACATCTATTATCTATCTATCTTTATCATCCATCCATGTATCTATCATCTATCTACCCACCTATGTATCTATCCTGCATCTATCATCCATCCATCCATCAATCCATCATCTATCTATCTATCTATCTATCTATCTATCTATCCATCCATCCATCTATCCTCCATCTATTATCTATCTATCTATCTATCTATCTATCTATCTATCTATCTACCAATCTGTCTACCCATCTATGTCTTTATCATCTATCATCCATCTATCCATCTATCATCTATCTATCTATTTATCTATCTATCCATCCATCCATCCATCCATCCATAAATCCATCCATCCATCCATCCATCTACGTCTCTATCATGTGTCTATTTACCTACCTCCCTACAACCTACACCAATGGTTATCAACAAGACAGCTGTGTTCTCAGGGGACACTCATCAACATCTGGAGATATTTTAGGTTGACATAACTGGGGAGGGGGTGGCCCTGAGATCTGGTGGGTGGAGACCGAAGAGAATGCACAGGATGCCCCACATCGGAGAGTCACCAGCCCCAGGTGTCATAGTGCTGAGCGTGAGAAACCCTGACCTAGCATAACAGGTGTCAGCATCTGTCCCCCAATCCGTTCTCCTTCCCCCATCTCTCTTTTTCTCTCTTGTGTCTATGTATCCATCCATCTATATATCTACCCATCAATCATTTATCATCCATCCATCTATCTACATCTCTATCCACTTATCTGCCCATCATGCATCTATGTAGTTATCTATACCTATGTCAATATCGATGAGTATCTATCAATGTCTATCATCTATATAATATTTCTGTCTAGAGAGAGAGAAGAGGAGGAGAGAAGAGGGAAGAGCCAGGCACTGAGTCTCAGGAACTTCACACCAACCTCCCCCCCCCCATCTTTTTCCCTGCTCCATCCGTCATCCAGCTACAAACACTGGAAATAACCAGCCATCAATCAGCTCATCGGCAGCTCGGAATGTTTATATAGTGCTCCACGGAAACACCCAATCTGTGTCCGCGCATACAAAGGAAAGCAGAGACGAGTTGTTCCCTGGGTCAGTCTGGCCAAACCAAACACAATGCCACATTTTTACACTTAAATCGGGGTCCGTGTATTCACTTGAAGGGAAGGGCCAATTCTTATCTAGTCTGGAAACTGAGCTCCACAAATATTAGAACGGCAAAAGCAGTTGTTGTTGTTTTTATCTTAAATTAAATATCAAAGCCCGGCCGGTGTGACTCAGTGGATTGAGCACTATCCCATGGACTGAGAAGTCTTGGTTTGATTCCCGGTCAGGGCACATGCCCAGGTTGTGGGTTGGATCCCCAGTAGGGGACATGCAGTAGGTGGCCAATAGATGTTTCTTGCTCACATCTATGTTTCTATCTCTCTTCCTTCCTCTCTTTCAAAAAATAAATAAATGAATGAATAAATATCAACTTCTATGTGTTTTGCTCTATTTGGATACATTTATTCAGCCCGGAAAGGGGACCACTTTGTAAAGTGTATGACTGTCTGAGCACTATATTGTACACCTAAAATTAAAGAAAAGAATATTAAGTGTAAACTGTACTTTAAAAATAATTTTAATTACAAAATGTAAAAATTAAAATTAAAAAAATAAAATATTTTGGATATTAACCCATTATCCCATGGATCGTTGGCAAATATGTTCTCCCAGAGAATGGGTTCCCTTTTCATGTTGATGCTAGTTTCTTTTGTCAGTTGGTCTCGTTTTATTTTTTTGCATGTGGCTGTCCATTTCTCCCAACACCATTTATTGAAGAGACTGTCTTTTCTCCATCGTATGCTCTTGCCTCCTTTGTCAAATATTACAATGGAGGGGCACGTGTAATACTTTCAACTATAAACTTCATTATTTAAAAAAAGTTAAACATTCAATATTGCATCACCTGAAAAAAACAAAACAAGCGTAATCCTATGGAAGTTGGAGCTTGGCGTTACCTGTAGATGGCGGTAAAGAGCTGTTCCGAGGGAACCCCAAATGCCTTCACATACTGGTTCTTCCCTTCCCTGTAATCAGGGAGGAAGACGGTTACTCCAATTCTTAGACAGTCCTTGAACCTCGATTAATGCACACAGTGGTCACAGGCCTCCCCTTACATCACAGAAGGGACAAGCGGGAAGCGTAACTCTGTGACAAGACACACTGACGCATGGCTCTCTAGGGTGAAAGACACACCAGCCACACATGTTCAGAGCTGCAGCATCCTGTTAGCACAGGTCTCTGGTGTGAGCTAACAAGGATGTTTAATGGGAACAGAAAGAGTGTGAAATGATGTGCTATTGGGGGATACCACAGTCTGGAATGACTCACTGCCCAGCAGCTCAGGATGAGAAACTCCTTATAACTGGAGAGACTGCTGCTCTACCTGTAGCTGGAAGACCAGTTGGTCTACCTGCAACTGGAAAACCAACTGATCTACCTACAACTGGAGGACCAACTGGTCTACCTTCAGCTGGAGGACCAACTAGTCCACCTACAACGCATGACCAACTAGTCTACCTGCAACAGGAGGACCAACTGGTCTACCTACTAGGTGGGGCCAACTGGTCTACCAACTACGCGGGGCCAACTGGTCTACCTACTAGGCGGGGCCAACTGGTCTACCTACTAGGCGGGGCCAACTGGTCTACCTACTACACAGGACCAACTGGTCTACCTACTAGGCGGGGCCAACTGGTCTACCTACCAGGCCGGTCCAACTGGTCTACCTACTAGGCGGGGCCAACTGGTCTACCTACTAGGCGGGGCCAACTGGTCTACCTACCAGGCCGGTCCAACTGGTCTACCTACTAGGCGGGGCCAACTGGTCTACCTACTACACAGGACCAACTGGTCTACCTACTAGGTGGGCCCAACTGGTCTACCAACTACGCGGGGCCAACTGGTCTACCTACTAGGCGGGGCCAACTGGTCTACCAACTACGCGGGGCCAACTGGTCTACCTACTACGCGGGACCAACTGGTCTACCTACTAAGGTGGGCCCACGGTCTACCAACTACGGGGGGCCAAACTGGTTAACTACTAGGTGGCCAACTGGTCTAAACAACTACGCGGGGCCAACTGGTCTAACCTACTAGGTGGGGACCAACTGGTCTACCTACTAGGCGGGGCCAACTGGTCTACCAACTACGCGGGGCCAACTGGTCTCCCAACTACGCGGGACCAACTGGTCTACCTACTAGGGGGCCAACTGGTCTACCAACTACGCTGTACCGCACTGGTTCTACCTACTACACAGGACAAATGTCTTCCCAACTACGCTGGGACCAACTGGTCTCCCAACTACGCGGGACCAACTGGTCTACCTACTAGGTGGGGCCAACTGGTCTACCACCTACGCGGGACCAACTGGTCTACCTACTACGCGGGACCAACTGGTCTACCAACTACGCGGGACCAACTGGTCTACCTACTACGCGGGACCAACTGGTCTACCTACTACACAGGACCAACTGGTCTACCAACTACGCAGGACCAACTGGTCTACCTACTAGGTGGTCCAACTGGGTCTACTACCAGGCCGGGGGTCCAACTGGTTACATACGACAGAGCCGGGGCAACTGGTATACCTACTTGGCGGGGCCCAACTGGTCTACCACCAGGCCGGTCAACTGGTCTACCTACTAGGCGGGGCCAACTGGTCTACCTACTACGCGGGGCCTGCTGCTCTACCTACTAGGCGGGGCCAACTGGTCTACCAACTAGGCGGGGCCAACTGGTCTACCTACTAGGCGGGAGCAACTGGTCTACCAACTACGCGGGGCCAACTGTCTACCTACTACAGCCGTACCAATGGTTTTCTACCTACTATGGTGGGCCCAACTGGTCTACCAACTACGGGGGGCCAAACTGGTTAACTACTAGGTGGCCAACTGGTCTACAACTACGCGGGGCCAACTGGTCTAACCTACTAGGTGGGGCCAACTGGTCTACCTACTAGGTGGGGCCAACTGGTCTACCTACTACTCGCGACAACGCGGGACCAACTGGTCTACCTACTAGGCGGGAGCAACTGGTCTACCTTCAGCTAGGGACTTACTAATCTACCCACAGCTAGAGAGCCGGCTGGTCTACCTGCAGCTGGAGAGCCAACTGGTCTATCTTTAGCTAGCAGGTGAGCTGGTCTAGCTGCAGCTAGAGGACCAACTGGTCTACCTTTGATTAGAAAAACAACTGGTCTACCTACATCTAGAGGGTCAGCTGGTCTACCTGCAACTGGAACACCAACTGGTCTACCTGCAGCTGGAGGGCCATCTGGTCCACCTGCAGCTGAAGAAGTGGCCAGCTGATTTATCCTCGGCTTTTCCTCCACCTCCTCGCTCTCCCTCCCACTTCTCCTCCTCCTTCTCTCCTGCAGCTAGGTGAAGAATTCCTTGGGCATCGGACACCAGCTAGGACAGCTCCCTGGAGTCCCGGGCAACTCTCCCATCACAGGTACATTCTGAGAGCCCGGCCTTGTGGTCCCACCACTGTGCTCTGAATGTGTTCCCAGCTTTGCTGAGACTCACACCACTTCCCTGAGACTCTGAGAGCCAAGGTTCTCATCGCAACAGGTTTACACTAAGTGACCTCCACAGGTTATGTAACCAGCAGGTTATCTAACATGAGCTCTGAATTTCCATACCTACAGGTGTCTCGTTGGCTTTTCCAAGGAACCTGATATGTCACACCCTCCACGCCCAGGGAAGCCCTGGGATACGATCCCCACCACCGCTACCACACCCACCTCACAGCCTGGGCCAGGTGTGCCCAGCACAGGTAGGTGGTCCTGGCCATGTAGAGCATCATGTTGCTCTGGGACCTGGGGCTGGACCTGACCAGGTAGGTGTTGGAGAGCTCCGTGTTTTCATATAGAGCTGAAAACAGGCAGAAAAGAATGCTGGAAAAATAAGTTAAATTTCAAGACATGGCAGCCCTGACATCAACATGATTTAACCTTGTCCTGGTCTGTGAGCATGGACGTTCAACAGCCCGACCTAGTTTGAAGGAGCAGGTGACTGGGGGCAGGTCCCTATGGCTGGGACTTACCCTGAAGGGGCAGGTGACGAGGAACAGGTCCCTATGGCTGGGACTTACCTTGAAGGAGCAGGTGACGAGGAACAGGTCCCTATGGCTGGGACTTACCTTGAAGGAGCAGGTGACTGGGGACAGGTCCCTATGGCTGTGACCCTGAAGGGGCAGGTGACTGGGGGCAGGTCCCTATGACTGGGGATTTATCCTGAAGGAGACGGTGACCTTGCTCTGCATGGGATCCCTTCATGCTCCTGCTCCTGGTGAGCACTTTGCATCCCCCTTAGGACAGAATCGTGGCTTCTGTTCATGAAGAAGAAGGTGCTGCCCTTTCACCGTGTCCGAACAACCTGTCATCGCTGCTGCCTGTCTGTGGGTCTCTCCCATGGACCCCAAAACAAGGCCCCAAGCACATGCTGGGACCCTGTCCGGTGGCTCCCCAGCCCAGCATGCGGGACCCTCCTGGCCGCTGCCCCTCTAGGGACAGCGGAGACACTGCTCTAGGTGACCCTGTGGGGGTTTGGGGGTACAGCCCGGTGCCTGCTGATTCCCCAGCCTGGTGTCCGAGAACTGTCCCCAAGGGCACCTTCCTCCTGCATGAGCCAGAGCGATGCTGGCACCCGGATCCCCGCGGGCACGACTCCCCGCGGAGGCCCACCCCGGCTCCCACGTCGCTGCTCCCCGTCCCGGCCCGTGGCTTCTGGACCCTGCCCGTTCTCAGAGGGACAGAACCGTCTCCGCGCTCTGCGTGCTGGCCCTAGGGTGGCACGTTTTGAATTTCGCGAGGTCAGAGCATTTTTAAAGAGCGTCCGTCCCGTATCCCCTCCGAGAAGTGCTGTTTCCACGCCGACAAGACTGTAAGCTCAAAACGAATGCCGGCCTCTGAGCGAAACCCCTTTCTCGGGACAGATCACCCTGTGGGCACCTCCTGTTCCTCCTGTTTACTGGATGCCTGCACGTGGGGACCTGCAGAACGCACATCAGCGTTTGTAAATAAAGCTTTATTGGCGGCCACCACGCCCAGCTGTGGACACAATGTCTCAGATGCTGCAAAGGCAGAGATGAGAAGCAGCAACAACACCAAGAGCACAAACTCTGGCTCTTTGCGGAAAAGGCTGCATTGGAAATGCCTCCTTCAACAGGACACTAACCTTTTCCGCTTGTCATCTGCACTTGCAGGAGCTTAAGGGACACACAGGTGTCCAGCAGCAGCTCTGTGCCCCGGGAGCTGGTGCCCAGACGTCTGGCCACGGTAGCCGCGTCCAGGGGCTCCGGGGCCTCGGCGAGAAGGTCAAACACTCCCAGCTCACAGGCAGCGAAGAGAACCTCAAAAGAAATTAAAGTAGAGACGGGAAAGGGTCATTGGCCGCCTGTGTTCACAGAAGCCAAGGGTCCGTGGTGGATGGATAACGCATGGGCCATCCAGAGTGGAATATTATTCGGCCATGAAAAGGAACGACGTTCTCACACCTGCTCCCTCGACACATGGACGGACCTTGAGGACATTACGTGACGTAAGGCAGACACTGTAGGACAAATCCTAGGAGATGCCACTTGTATGAGGTCCCTGGGGTCACATATCATAGACACAGGACATGGTGGGTGCCAGGGACTGGGGAGCGGATGGGGAGTCCGTGTTGAATGGGGACAGAGCTTCAGTGTGGGACAATGTGAAGGTTCGGGAGATGGTGGGGGTGGTTATACCACAATGGCAATGAGCTTCATGTCATTGAACGGTGCACCTCAAAATCACTAAAATTGTCAATTGCGTGTCTATTTTACCACAATAAGACATGGTTTCATGCCCGGCTGGTGTGGCTCAGTGGTTGAGCATCACCCCTGCACCCAGAGGTCGCCAGTTCGATTCCCAGTCAGGACACAGGCCCAGGTTGTGGGCTGATTCCCAGTGGGGGGCGTGCAGGAGGCGGCCAGTTGATGTTCTCTGTCATCGATGTTTCTCTCTCTCCCTTCCTCTCCCTCTAAAATCAATAAAGAAAAAATATTTTTTTGAAAAGATTGCACCAGCTCATGTCCTATTAAATTGGTGACAATCAATGACATCATATCGGGTGTACCACAGGGATTTCCCTCCCAGGGTTTGTAACGTCCCCAACACCGGAGAGCCAGTAGCTTAAAGAAAAGATGCAAGGGGAGCCCCTGATTGAAGGGGACAGACAGATGGTCAGCAGAGTCCCTTTTGCAGCCAAGGGATAAGAATAATTTTTTTTCTGCAGAAACATGTACCTTCCCACACGCCAATTCTTGTCAAACAGGCATTTGTACCCCTCGAGGGTCTCTGGAGAGACTTCCAATGAATCCATGAACTGCAGCTTTGGTAACCTCTACCTGAGTCTCCAAAGCCTCGGATACTTCCACGTGTCGTGTAGCTGGTGCAGGGCATTTAAATACCGTCAGCAACCCCCCCGCACCCGGCTCCGTGATGCTGACCCTTCGGGCAACTGTCCGCCTCCTGGCTCTGCAGCCTCCAAGGGTGGAGCTGTGTGCTGTCCGAACTGGAAATAGGGGTCCGGCTATCCCGGGAGGGCAGACACCTCACCCCGGGGAGCGAGCTCCAGACACTGTCTCATCTGCATCTGAATAATTTGCCCTCGGAAAACATCCGCCCGGGACCCCCAAAACAGAATTGAGATTTCCGGGGCTCCTGGAGTAGCAGGTGTGAGCCCTCCTAAAACCAGCACCCGCATCCCCCATTCCTGGCCCGACGCCTCTTGACGACACGACATCTGTGTCTAAGTTGCCTCTGTGTTTATGAAGGTCAAATTCACACGGCGTCAGATTCTCCGTGAACCCTGCAAACCCATCCGGTGGCTTTTAGCAGACTCGTGGTATTGCGGAGCCGTGACCTGTACCTGGTCGCAGGACATGTTCACCACCCCGAAAGGAGACCGGTCCCCGTGAGAAATCACGCCTCACCTCTCCGCCAAAACCTAAGTCCGAATACCAGCGTCCTGTGGACTGGACATCGTACCTGCCCTGTAAGCGGTCACTTACAGATTTTGGATGTTGTATGTGTTACATAGTATATTTTTACGACGACGGGAGCCAGAGAGAAGGAAATGATGTTAACAGCATCGTGAGGAACGGGAAACACAGTTGTGGTGTCCACTGAAAAATATCCGCACACACACACGGACCCACGCAGTTCGAACCCGTGTTGCTCAAAGGCCGAGTCTGTAGGAACACATCACCTTGCTTTCGGGGTGTTGACACCCCACGACCCAAGGTCTTCTACCGCGGAAGGGGTGCAGGAGTCCCATGTCTGTATTTCCATCACCACCACCCGCTTTGTGATCCGACTTTAGCTTAAGCTTTTAGAAGCATTGTAGGGACTGAGAAGTGCAGACTTGTGATTGGAAAACAGTCACAGGGCCCTGGCCGGTGTGCTCAGCGGTTAGAGCGTCGGCCCGCAGACCAAAGAGTCGCGGGTTCGATTCCGGCCAAGGGCACGGACCTCGGTTGCGTTTCGTCCCCGGCCCTGGTTGGGGTCGTGCGGGAGGCAGCCAGTCGATGTGTCCCTCTCACGTCGATGTTTCTCTCTCCCCCTCCCCTCTATCTGAAGATAAATAGAAAACTATCCTCGGGTGAGGATTTAAAAAAAAAAAATGGTCACAGGGATGAAAGCACAGAGCGGAAAATATAGTCGTAAGTGTGGGAGGGGCCAGGGGGTGCTAGACTCATGTGGGGAATCACTTCCTCAAGTATAAAGGTCTGAGCAGCCTGCTGGGGGCGTGAAACCAACATGAAATAACACTGCCTGTCAACTGTCATTGAACAGAAATGGAAATAAATGAAGAAAAGGAATGAAAATGTCATCCTGAGACAGGGCCCAGGGGTGCTGAGGCCCCCCAGAAGGTCCCCATGCCCCAGAGGCTTGCCCGTAGTGCCCCAACACCGTCCTCACCCCAAAGGAGACGCCCCATCCCCCACCGCTCTCCCACCCATGGGATCCGGGGGGCCCACGTGCGTCCTTCCGGGGCCCTACCTGGGACACCATGAAGCCCTGTGAGCACCTGTCCAGGAGACTGAGGGCGGCCCGGGCGTCAGGGGAAGTCATTTCCTCCCCGGCCACCTGCTTCGAGGGTCCCCGGTGGTCCCGGCGGCAGGGCTGTGAGCCGCTGGGTCCGGCCACCACCGGGAGCTGTCGCAGGGAGCGGGCGAGACAAGCCGGTCAGGGCAGAAAATCCCATTAGCAGGATTAATCGGAGGACTCGGCTTACGGGTTCCCCCGGGGCTTCCTGCTCACACCTGCTGCCCGAGGCCCTAAAGTCATCGGTGACGTGATGTCCACATTTTACGAGTGTGTGTTTACATTAAGGTTCATGTTTACTGACTAGAAAGGAAAAAATAAACAAAGGGGATGACATCCAACTGAGAGGTTTTTGGCCGGTAAACACAGCCATGCACACGACAGAAGAGAGATGTAACCCAATAAATGATGCCAGGTGTCGGCTAATGATTCATCCACCAAGGGTTAATATCCAAAATACATAAGGGACTCATAGGACATGAAAAACAGAACAACAATCGATCCGCCTGAAAATGGGCGGAGGACCTCAAGACGCCTCTCTCTGCAGAACACACAGGTGGTCCGTAGACCATCGCCCGGGAAGAACATCCTGACAAAACCCAATCCTCATCTACCCTACGGACTCTCCACCAAGTAGCCACAGGGAACATACCTCCGTTCATTCATTCTAATCTACGCCGTTCTTTTAAACTTGTGTCTTTTAATCTAGTTTATTTAACTTTAATTATTGAGATTTGTTTTAAAATTTCATTTATCTTAATTCAATAATTTGGGGGGGAGAGTTCATCCTCATCCAATCCTTTATTTTTATTTATTCAGTGATTTACAATGTTTATTAAAACTTTTTTTCTTTATTGATGTTAGAGAGGGAGGAAGGGAGAGAGAGAGAGATGGAAACATGGATGAGCCAGAACATTGACTGGCCGCCTCCTGCACGCCCCCCACTGGGGATCAGGCCCACAACCTGGGCATGTGCCCTGACTGGGAATCGAACCAGCGACCTCTTGGTGCCTGGTCGACGCTCAACCACGGAGCCACACCGGCTGGACTTAAATATTTTTTATTTATTTTTTGAACTTATGCTCTAAAGTTCATTCCCTTTCATCCATAGGAGGAGTAAGCCCCCCTGTGTCCTGAGGTGTAAACATCCGATGTCTTTCCCAGGTCACGTCTCTGCCTACACCCACTTCTGAGTTCCGAATTCAGCTCCATCTGTCCAGTTGATGGCTCTGGGCCATGTTCACGTGACTGTTCTTTTTCTGTGAGAGAGAGATAGAAACATCGATGAAAGAGAACATGGATTGACTGCCTCCTGCACGCCCCCTACTGGGGATGGAGCCCGCAACCCGGCCATGTGCCCTGACCGGGAATCGAACCGGGACCTCTCAGTCCATGGACGACGCTCAACCCCTGAGCCACACCAGCCGGCCACATCACCATTCTTTTTTATTTTTATTTTTTTTATCCTCAGTTCAGGTAGAGCGGGAGGGAGAGAGAGGAACAGAGAGAGAGACAGAAACATCGATGTCAAAGGAACACATCGAGTGGCTGCCACCCGCACGACCGACCAGGGCCGGGGACAAACTGCAACCAAGGTACATGCCCTTAGCGGGAACCGAACCCGGGTCTCTCAGGACTGCAGGCCGACGCTCTAACCGCTGAGCCAAACCGGCCAGGGCCACATCACCATTCTTAACACCATCCAAAACGAATCCCAACAGACCCCATGGTCATCTCCCCGCGAACGTGCACACGCCATTTATTACTCCTTTTCCGAACGCTGCTCCCTAGCGTGGGCTTCTTCTGCAAGGGCTTCACACCAGTTGGCCAAGTTCTCCGTAAATTCCCCCTGGAATTCGGATGCAAGGACCGAGAACAGACTGACCAGTTCTAGGGTATTGTCTGGGGACCACGGAAGCCTGCCCCCACGATCTCCACCCGCTCAGGTGTTCTTTTCTCTCTTTCTTTGTAGATTTATGCGTAAACACCTGTTAACTTTTCCGGATACTTGGATGACCTTCCCTAAAGGGTCACGGATGACACGTGAGTTCTGATTCATGGACCTCATTCTGGGCTGAGCGTTTCCGGCTGCCTTGCGATTGGAAGACTCAAAAGGACTGCATATGGTTAAAATGTGCCCCTTGTCTGGCCGGTGTGGCTCAGTGGTTGAGCATCGACCCTGCACCAAGAAATCGCCGGTTCACTCCAGTCAGGACACATCCCCAGGTTGTGGGCTCGATCCCCAGTGGGGGGCGTGCAGGAGGCGGCCCGTCGATATTCTCTCATCCATGTTGCTCTCTCTCTCCCTTCCTCTCTCTTTAAAATCAATAAAGGAAAATAAAATAAAATAAAATAAAATAAAATATGGCCTCTTCCTCTCCAACTTGACGAGTCGGGAAGAGGAGGAAGTGGATGTGGGGTGCGTGCGAATCTATCTCCACGAACTCGTTTTTACTTTCGGTTGTCCTGCCTTCTCGGTGCCCGATCGGGGTCTGGCTGCAGCTCCGTCCTGCCCAGAGGCACCGTCTTTCTCCTACAGTTGCTGAGGCCCTGCTCACACACAGGCCAGGCCTGGGCAGGACGGCCAACCCTGGCGCCCCAGCAGGATCTCGGCGTCGGCTCTCTGCCTCCTGCCTGCCTGTCTGCGCACATGCTGCTTGTTTGGGGTGAAGGGAGTTCAAAGGGGGAGCCCTCTCAGTGAGAAGTAATGTCTGCTTGGTGGTGGGGTAGGAGACCTGTCCTAGGACACACTCGGGGCGGGGCTTGTAGGGTGGTGTGGGCACACCCCGCGGTGAAGAGCGAGGAAGACCCTCTGGGACCATCTCACAGGAGAACAGGGGGACTGGCCACTGATCGCATTTGCTGGATTAAATTAAAGCCGCTTTTCTTAAGACGGCCAATCCCCTGGGCTGCCAGATGCCGGCACGATCTTCCATCAAGCGACGACTTTGGTAATGAGATGGACTGTTGAGAAGGGCCCGATGCACGCAGAGACCGGAGCTGGACACAGGCACCGGGCGGGGCTCAGCCGCGACAGCTGGCGCGTGTGTGGGCGCAGGGACCCCAGTGAGGCTGCGGGGACCCCAGTGTGGTTGCAGGGACCGTAGTGCAGCTGTAGGGACCCCAATGCAGCTGCGGGGACCCCATGCAGCTGCAGGGACCCCAGTGTGGCTGTGGGGATCCCAGTGCGGCTGTGTGGGTCCCTGTGGGTGCTTCCCACCTCTGGCTGCTCACCCACGGGCTCTTTAGGTTTAAAAAGACTGATTTTGTGAATTTGCTAAACTTGAAAGGACTCTGAGGACCCCGGATTCTCCTCCAGGGGGCTGGTCACAGGACCACGGCAACCATCGTGCGAAGCAGCTGTTCTAAGAAAACGCGGTGACTCCTTGAAGTTTCAGGACCCTGACCTGGGCTCGGCTCAACGACCGGGTCACACAGTACGCGAGACACGGGCTCATTGGAAAAGGGTTTTATTTCCCCATAAAAATGCAAACTGGATCGACAGCGTCTCTCCGAACTCACACGTCACAGCGGTTTCCGTGTCTGCGCCCCGCGGGGAGAAGCGAACGGTTATAAAAGGTTAACAAGTCTGCAGCCTGAAATCTGCTTGAAACGTTCCCAGTAAAAATAATTTAGCAAAACAGCTTCTTAAAAAAACCACACACGCTCACCTCCGCTGGGAACCCCAGCTCGGAACCCCCTCCCGGGCCGCCCCCCGGGCTTCGTCAAAGCGGCCGCCTCCGAGGCCCGGGCCCCGCCGTCCTGACCCAGCGCGGCCCAGCGCGTCCTGAGCTGCCGGGCGCCCGCTGCAGCCCCACGAGCTCGCCAAGCCCACGTGCCCCCGGGCGTCCCCCCCCCCGCGCTCCCCGCGTTCACACTACAACAAGGAAACGCCGCAGGGCTCGGTGCCCGGGGCCTGCCCCGCGGGGCTGATGCGCCCCGATGCGCCCGCCGAGCCGGCAGTGCGGGTCCCAGGCGCGGTCCGGGCGGCGCCCTGTTCGGGCTGCAGGTGCGGGGGCGGCGACAGGAGGGCTTTGCCCCAACTTTCACCCACAGTTCTGGGGGTCGAGGGCTCGTCCGCCGGCTCCACCCGGGAGCCCGAGCCCGCCCGAGCCTGGGGTCCGCCTGGGGTCCGCCTGGGGTCCGGGGCCGGCGTGCGCGGCACAGGAGCCGGTGCTCCGCGGGCCGCACGCTCCAGGGCGGGCGGGACCGGCCGGCATTACCTGTCCCAGGAGCTGCGGCTGCGACCCGGGGACCCCGAGCGCGACCTCTGGCTGTGGCGGCGGCGGCTGCGCTTCCGGCTGGAGCCCGCCCGGCGGTCGCGGCTCCGGGCCCTGCGGGCGGCGCGCTCCCGGCTGCGCGACTTCCGGGAGTGGGCGTGGCCGGGGCTGGCGCTGCGCCGCGGGGGGCGGTCCTGGTGCGAGCGCTTCCGGTGGGACCGGCGCTCCTTCCGCGGCCTCCCCTCCTCGCGGCTGCCGCGGCGCGACCGGCTGCGCTCCCGCTGGGGCCGGTCCTCGCCGCCCGGGTCCCCGCCGGCCCGGCCCCGGCCGCGGCTGGGCTCCCGGTTGCACTTGTCTTGCTCCGACAGGACGTCCTTCCGGGGCGCCGGCTCGCAGGGCGCAGGGGCGCCCTTGGGCTGCTGGTTGTTGTCGGGGATGCAGGACAGGACGGCCGGGCACCGCTTCTCGGGCGACGCGCCGTCGGGGGCGGCCGGGTGAGGGGGCTGCGGGTCCCTGCCCGGAGCGTCGCCGGCCACGCTCCCATTCACGTTTCTGGGCGCGCCCTCCGGCTCGGGCTGCGGCGGGGCCTCCTTCGGGGTGCTGGGGGGCAGCGGGCGCCCCAGGAGATGCGAGGAGGCGGCGCTCACGCAGCCGGCCGACACCGAGTGCAGGATGTCCAGCACGGGCTGCAGCAGGTCCGCGGGCGCCACGCCCGGCTCGTCCTGCGCCTGCGGGTCGCCCACCTTCTTGCTCAGCAGGATGCTCAGCAGGCGCTGGCGCAGCTGCCGCTCCTTCCGCTGCAGCCCCAGGGCGCGCTCCTTCTCCTCCTCCACCCGCCGCAGCTCCGCCTCCTGCAGCCGCCGCCGCTCCTCCAGCTGCTGCTGCCGCAGGGCCTGCTCCTTCTGCTCCTGCTCCTGCAGCTTGGCGGCCTGCGGGAGAGAACACGCCTCAGCGGGGCCCGGGGCCTGCCACGCTCGAGCAGCACTGGGCTCAGACGCCCCGTGGCGGGGTGCTGGAGACAGCCTGGCCGACACGGCGCCCATCCCTGCACACCCGGCGGTCATGCGTCCGTCCGAGCGAGGTGCACACCCCACGGCAAAGCTACTTGGCACAGCCCCGGGCAGGCATTTCGGGGTGGCCCAGGCCCCTCCGTGATCGCCACAACAGGGAGCTGAGATGACGACGCAGACCCAGGCCGCCCAGGCCGCCGCGGGACCTGCTGGGCCCGGCCTGGGTCAGTGTCTTCAATATTCACCATGAACAAGAGCGGAGCGGCCACCTGTCTCAGCGCCCGCCACTGTCCTTCCCGGGGCCTTATCAACACTGTAATTAGACAACAGGTTACGGGGTCGCCCCACACCTCACCGCACGGGGCGCGCGGCTGTCTGAGCACAGGTCTGTCCTTCCGCGGCCCCAGGCCCAGCTCGCAGGAGTTACCGGCCGGGCCACCACGAGGCAGAGGGGGCTCTCAGGCCTAAGGTCATCCGCACAGCGCCGGCCAACACCTGTCACGCCACCGCTGCTGAGCAGGGACACAGCCGGCCAGGTCTGTGGTGCGCCCTGCGTTCCCTGGGGACCAGGCTCGCCCTCGTCCTCCCGCCGTGGGCTGCCGGCCTGGGGGAGGCCGAGGCCGGTGACCGGACCAAGCGTGGCCAGCACGTCCCGACAGGAGGGCCGCACCGGGAGCGGGGGCTCTTCGAGCCCTGCCACACCCCGTGCCTGGGCAGACCACGCCCCTGGCCGCCCCGCGGCCGCCTGCCAGCCCCCAGGAGGCATGAGCACGGGCCACACTGACCCACGCCCTGCGTCTGAAACCCGGACGACGCAGGAACCCCACGCCCGGTGAGGGGCCGCCCTCTGCAGGTGGCCGCAAGCAGCCGAGGCGCGGCCCGCAGGACAGCAGCAGCGAGCCCGAGGGCGCCGGGTACCTTGGCTCGGCTCAGCAGCTCCGCCATCAGCCGGATGGACTGCAGGTTGCGCTGGGCCAGCAGCAGCTTACGCTCCTCCAGCCGGATCTTCTCCTGCAGCTTCTTCTGCTCCTCCGCCTGCAGCTTCTCCAGCTTCTTCTGGCTGCGGCGCAGCTCGCGGTCCCTCTGCTTCTGCTCCCGCTTCCGCAGCTTCTCCTCCCGCTTCCGCTCGCGCTCCAGCTCCTCCAGCTCCTTCTGCTTCCTGCGGACACACCGGGAGGCCGTCAGGGGCGCGCGGCGCAGGTGCACTCACGGCCTCACCCACGGGCCACGGGCCTCGGGAAGGTGATGAACCACTCCCGCCCTGTACCCCAAATCCCTTTCCGCCGAGCCAGGAGCCCACGAAGCAGCAGACACACGAGGGGAGGGTCCAGTCCCTGCAGGACAGTCCAGCTGCGTGCGGCCCAAACCGGGAGCCCCGCAGGCAGGGAGCAGTGGGTCTGGCACCAGGAAATTTCGTTCTAAACGAGACACACCAGCAGCAGGTGGAGGGAGGGCCACGCGACAGCAGAGGAGAGCACAGGACGGCTGAGCGCCCCCCAGCGGGACAACTTCCCCACCCGGGGCTCAGATGAGCCGGATGAGCCCGAGCTGCACAGCCACAGGGGTCCTTGAGCACCCCCCAGGGGAAAGGTCGACACTGGGTGCCTCCGGACCCGCCCCCTGTGTGAGTCCAGGGAAGGCACACCCACAATGACGGAAGGCAGAGGACGCTCGCTCTGGGGCCTGGCCCTGACCCACCAGCAGCCTCCTCTCGTAAAAACCCCGTCGGGACGCTCAATGCCCCTCGGAAACACGACTTTCCTTTGGGACGAACCGCGGTACGCGCACACAACTGAGCACCAGCAGTGCCGGGAAGTGTGTGTGTGTGTGGGGGGGGGGCGACACCAAAAGAAAGCAAGATGGACTACGACCCAGAGACCGTCTGGGACACCCACAGGCATGTTGGCCCAGCCCCTCCTCTGCTCCTCGGTTTTACGACGATCAAACCACCTGAGTGACACAGGGACAAAGATGGAGGCTCCGCACTGGGCGAGACCCAGAGCCGCCAGAGGACACAGCATGAGACCAGTGGCCTGCACCCCACACCCCAGTGGGCAGGACGCACAGCCCCTCCCGCCACCATGGGCACGGCACCGGCACCAGCACCAGCACCAGCCCAGGGCCCAGAACCTCTGTCCTCACCCCACCCCACCCCAGGTCCAGTCTGCATCTCTCAAAGGCCCCACGACCGTCCACTTCCTGACCCAATGTTTCCTCCCATAAAAGTCGTGCAAACGGCTTCCTAAGTGGCCCCCGGAGCTGCTTCCCGAGATGGGGTGATGGGAACGAAGGCACAGTCTGCGGTCACGGCAGACACCGGGGGACAAGCCCGCCCTGGAAACAGGCTGGGCAGGCGTCACTGGCAGGGCGTGTCCACGCCAAGGGAGCTTCCCGCCTCGCTTTCCCGGGCGGCGCCCCAGAAGACTGGTGTTCTCCTCGGTGCGCAGCACCTCCCCCCCAAGCAGGTCCGGTGCTCCCCTCCACAAGCAGAGGACCCCCCTCCACAAACAGGTCCCGTGCTCCCCCAGAACCCCACTGTGAGGCAGGGGCCTGGCTGCAGGGCTCCAACCAAGGACTGGTCAGAGCCTCTCCCACCGGACCCTCCCCTCCCCCCTCCCCTCCCCGACGGCCCTTCCTCCCAGACCACGCGGGGGACTCGCTCTGCACAGCAGCTTGGTCTGGGCCTGCAGCCTGGCACAGGGCCTGAGGCACCGAGGGGACCACGGAGTGCAGACCCGGGAAGCAGGGAAGAGAAAACCGGGACCAATGGGGGGAGCTACTGGAAAACTGGTCTGGAACCGGTCTGGCCAAAGGCCTCGTGTCCGAGACCGAACTTCAGGAACACAGCAGTGTCCTGTGAACACAGACGCTGGGAGCCGCCAAGGGCAGGGACGGGATAACTCCTGGTGCCCCAGAGGACACCACTACGTCACTTCTGTAACCACCACCAGCGAAAGATGAAAGGGGTCAAGTGTGACCCGAGCAGGCCTCCTGAGGTCTGACCCGCAGGGAAGGACGGAGGCAGCCCCTTGCAAGGCCTCCCCACGGGAACCCACTCTGACGGACGTCAGGCCACTGCCCAGGCCTCCGACGCATCTTGTCAACGACGCTTCAACCAGACAGACAGCCGCCCGGACACCCTGCTGGCTGCAGCAGGGCACAGAGGCGAGTGGTCACCGCAGGGCACGTGGTCACGAACCGCACAGGCCTCGGCACACATGGGACTGAGCTCAGGGCGGTCAGGGCCGACACAGCCTGGTGCAGCCCACCTCCCCAGGGCCCCGCGCACCCAGCCCACCTCCCCTGGGCCCCCTCGCACGCAGCCACCTCCCCTGGGCCCCGGCACATGCAGCCCACCTCCCCTGGGCCCCGGCACATGCAGCCCACCTCCCCTGGGCCCCCGCGCACGCAGCCCACCTCCCCTGGGCCCCCCGCGCACGCAGCCCACCTCCCCAGGGCCCCGCGCACCCAGCCCACCTCCCCTGGGCCCCCTCGCACGCAGCCACCTCCCCTGGGCCCCCGCGCACGCAGCCCACCTCCCCTGGGCCCCGGCACATGCAGCCCACCTCCCCTGGGCCCCCGCGCACGCAGCCCACCTCTCCTCGGCCCGCTGCCGCTCCTCAGCCTCCTTCTCCCGCCGCTTCTGCTCCTCCCGCTGCTGCTCCAGCTCCTGCAGCTTCTGTCTCTCCAGCTGCCGCTTCTTGATGGAGGCGTCGCTCAGGTGTTTGGTTGAGTCAAAGGAGACCTTTGGAGAAAACACAGAGTCAGGTGGAGGGCCGGGCAGGAACACCCACCAGCAGGCAGCGAGTCCATCGGAGAGCGCGTGCACCCTGCACTCAGGACCCACCAACCCCGCGTGTGGGCCGCAGCCGCAGTTCCCGGCTCCACCTAGTCCCGGCGCTGTGAAGTCCGCTCCACCGAGGAGGACGAACTTGCCCTGCACGGGAACTGGCCTTCGTTCCTGACTACAGTAGGACAGAGTTGCCCGTCCTCCGAGATCATTTTCCGCTTCTGTCCCAGGGACCCCTGCATGCCAGACCATGCCCAGGACCCGGCCGCCTCCACACATGGGGTGCAAGCTGTCTAACAGCCACAGAATCCCCACTACCCTGGGAAGCTGGTATCCTTGTCACCGCAAAGGAACACAGGACAAGTCAACACTGACAGGGAGCCCTGCCCTCTTTAAAGGGGGGTTTTGAAGGACCCAAGCTGTCCCAGCTCACAGGGGTCAGGATTCCTTTCGGACGACCCCTCCTCAACTACACTGAAATGCTGGACACCCCAGGCTTTGCCGCAGATACAGTTCTGCAAACTGCACACGGGGAGCTGCCTGTCTGTCTCTGCACCGAGATTCCCCTGATCATGTGTCTGCAGTGACGTCACCCCACCCCCCAAAGGCCAGCGGCCAGCAGGAGCCCCTCACCTTGATGTTGCAGGCCACGGCCTTGCCGTCCTCGCCCTTGTACATGAGCTTCATGCCGCGCAGGGCGCTCATGGCCTGGATGAAGCCTGCGTACTCGCAGTACTGGACGTACGCCTCGAAATTCAGGTGGCCCCCGAAACTGAAGGTGTGGAAGTTGCGCCCAGTCATCTCCTCCCGGTAGGGGTCGAGCATGGGGATGTCCACGTTCCGGATCTCCCCGAACTTCTCAAACACCTTCACCAGGACGTCCTCGCTGGGCTTCTCGGAGCCCGACTCCTTCAGGGCGAACCACTTGCAGGGCAGGCCCTCCAGGTGGATGGTGTCCGGCCGCTCTCCGGGCAGCGTCTCGTTCATGTCCTTGGCGTCGCGGAAGAAGGAGTCCCAGTCGTGCCGGGTGGGGAAGTCGATCTTGAACTCGGCGGCGCGCACCTTGAGGATGTCGGAGAAGCCGCTGAGCTTGATGGTCTTGCCGTCCAGACAGGCCAAGAAGGACCTGACCATGCTCCTGTTCTCCACCTCGCCCTCGAAGCGGATGAAGTCCATGGTGCTCTTGGAGATGCGCAGCGTGGAGAACTGGTGGTTGTGCACCATGCCCTTCAGCCTCTCCATCACCTCCCAGTTGGAGATGGACTTCCCGGGCTGCTTCAGCTGCGGTAGGGCCACGCTGATGGTCATCTTGGTGATGGGCTTCAGGTAGAGGCCGTGCAGCGGGCACAGCTCCACCGCCTCAGACGTGTCGTGCACTATGGTGGCTGCGGCCATCGCCGGGACCTTGGGCCTGAAACACACACCACGGTCAGCTCTGGAGGCCCAGGGAGGGGACACGAGCCTGCTTCCCTGCCCTGCGACAGAAGGTGGTGTCGCCCTCCGCGGAAGCCCTCACCACCTGAGATGGCTCTGGGTGGATCATCAGGTTACACCAGAGGCCAGAGAGGCCTGGGCTGACAGCGGCTTTTAAGAGCAGCTGGTGCCTGAGCCTCCATCCGCACTGACCTGCCCCGGGGACTCAGAAGCAGCTGCCCCAGGACCAGCCCCACCCTCCATGCAGCGCTGGGGACACACCAGCCAGAGCCCGCTAGCTCCCCAGGGCGTGCAGGCAACTCCCTGGGGAAGGGGCGCAGCTCAGCTCCGGGCACCGGGGAGAGCGGAGGGGCCTGGTGTTTGCACAGATGAGATAGGAAGTCCTGGGAGATGACACAAGCCCTCTCTTTGCCCAAGGTAACAGGTGCCAGGACCTTTCCCCGCTGGGGCGGTGAGCCACCCCCTCGGAGACCCCCGTTCCCTAAGGGGCAAAGAAGTCCTCCCGTGAGCCGGCTCCAGCCAGGAGCCTCACACCAGACGCCCCAACAAGGCAGGGGACCTGTCCAGCTGAATGCCCAGCCGCTCAGTCACCCAGTCACCCCCAGCTCGGCCCCCCCGCAGCTCAGCTCACCCAGCCCCCCCACAGCTCAGCTCACCCGGCCCCCCCACAGCTCAGCTCACCCGACCCTACGACCTCTCCACAGCTCAGCTCACCCGACCCCCGACCTCCCCACAGCTCAGCTCACCCGACCCCCGGGCCCCCCCACAGCTCAGCTCAGCTCAGCTCAGCTCAGCTCAGCTCAGCTCACCCGGCACCCCCACAGCTCAGCTCACCCGACCCCCCGACCTCCCCACAGCTCAGCTCACCCGGCCCCCCCACAGCTCAGCTCACCCGACCCCCCGACCTCCCCACAGCTCAGCTCACCCGGCCCCCGGACCCCCCCACAGCTCAGCTCACCCGGCCCCCCGACCTCCCCACAGCTCAGCTCACCCAGCCCCCCCACAGCTCAGCTCACCTGACCCCCCCACAGCTCAGCTCACCCGACCCCCCGACCTCCCCACAGCTCAGCTCACCCAGCCCCCCCACAGCTCAGCTCACCTGACCCCCCCACAGCTCAGCTCACCCGACCCCCCGACCTCCCCACAGCTCAGCTCACCCGACCCCCCGACCTCCCCACAGCTCAGCTCACCCGGCCCCCCCACAGCTCAGCTCACCCGACCCCCCACAGCTCAGCTCACCCGGCCCCCCCACAGCTCAGCTCACCCGACCCCCCCACAGCTCAGCAGGGGCAGCCCCAGGGCACAGGCGGAGAGTGGCCCCCAAACTAGGAGGGTCTGAGCAGGAAGCCAGAGCGCCCGGGGCGGGGACACAGCGCCTGGCTCGGACCCCCGACCGCGGGCACCCCGGACCCCAGGACCCGGCACCGCACCCCGTGGCGCAAGCAGGGCGCTGTGTCCCCGCCCCGGGCGCACCCCGGCCCTGCACCCGCCCCGCAGCCTCCGGGGTCCGCCTGCACCCAGCGCCCGCCGTCGTCCTGCCGCCTCCACGAGCCCCCCGTGGCCCTCGGCACCCCGACTTCCCCGGCACCCCCCCAAACAGCGGCCTCCCCAGGACCCCCGGTCTCCATGGCAACGCCGGCGCAGGCGCAACGACGCGGCCGCGAGGCCCGACCCGGTCCCCAGACCCGACCCGGTCCCCAGACCCGACCCGGTCCGGGCCTTGGGCCCGACCCCTCCGACCCGCCCGACCGCCCAGGGCGCCGGGCCCCACAGCCCGGTCCTTCCGGCCCCGATTCGCGCGGCGCCCGCCCCACCCCGGGCCCGGCCCCGCCGCCGGAGCCCCGCCCCGAGCCCCGCGCCCCGTCCCGGCCTCGGCCCCGCGGAGCAGGCGGTTGCGGGCGGCGCTCACCGGCGCGGGGCTCCACCTGCGTCCCTGCCGCCGACGACCCCGGCAAGCGCGGCCTCCCGCCCGGAGCCGCCACCGTCCGCCGGAAACGCCGCCGCCGCCCGCCCCTGTGACGCACTTCCGCTTCCGGCGCTCGCGCCAGCGGAAGCAGCCGCGCGGCGGCTCCAGGTTTCTCCTCCGGCTCCTGGCCCCGCCCCCGAAGGCGGGACTTCCGAGAGGCCGGGGGGAGGGCGGGCCGGCCCCGATCCTGCAGTGCGCGTGCGCGAGCCCGCCCCGCCCCCCCAGGCCCTGCAGAGGCGTCACCTGAGGACGCGAGTGGGCGGGTCTGTTTGCCCGCGAATTAGTATAACTCGATACAATGTAGCAAGCTGACTGCGTTTGAATTGTTTATGATCCAACCGTGCGTTTATTCTTTTAGCCTGTGTCCTGGTTTACTGCACCTAAAGAGTTGTTCTCCATCGTGCCACGATGACTCACGTGTGATGTAGGCTGATGACTTGTGCATTATCGACAATAGAGCCATATAATGCAATGCTTAAGTATTAGCTCATCGAGCATTTATTAATTTAGTGACTTTAGTTATTATGTCTTGATTGTATGGATGAGACAGACACGTCCCTCCAGGTGACATTATATTGTTATGTGATTATATACAGGTACCTAATGTAGTAGCAACATGTGCTATGTTAAGTGTTTCCTATGGTCATAGTCTATGTATTGTTTATTTTATTAACATAAAACTTTAAAATGCATATTCTCTTTTGCTTCATTTTTTTCTTTGTGGATTTTAGAGCGAGAGGAAGGGAGAGGGAGAGAGAGATAGAAACACTGATGAGAGAGAACATCGATTGGCCGCCTCCTGCACGCCCCCCACTGGGGATGGGCCCACACCCTGGGCATGTGCCCCCACCGGGAATCGAACCAGCGACCTCTTGGTGCAGGGTCCACGCTCAGCCACTGAGCCACACCAGCCGGGCTGTATGTTACATTTTATATGTAATACTTAATGTACTTTCCTGTGTTGACATAGTATATCCTTATATAACGGATCCTCATATGATTGCATAATTGAATTATCAGTTCCAATTGATCAAGCCCCCACATTAGGGTGGACACTGCTCCAGGCTTGGGCTTACAATACCCCACATAGGTCATACGAGTCCCCAAACTGAAAATGTAGGGTCGAGAAACAAGAATAGCCCACCCCTTGTTCAACACCAGTGCCCACACATTAGCATCAGAGGGGTGAGGGAGGGTAAAGGGACCCCATTTCAAGTGGACTTTTAAACAGAAAGGGGATTCTGGGTAATTTCTGGGCATCTGTCTTGTGTGCCTCGTATTGTCTTGTTCACACACTGTTCATACAGGCCAGTATGATCCCCATCTCCACCTCACAGAGAAGAAACAGAGGCTCCAGGGTCCCCCAAGAAGGAGGACCAGTGTTAGAACCCGAGCATGCTTCCCAGTGGGGTCGGCATCTTCGCTGTCCTTTACTGTCCCGTTTCTGGGAACACAGAAGTGTTTCCTGCCCTTTACAATCATCGTCCCAGAGATAACCTTGCACACGTCCATGGTGCTTCAATTCCCCAGGGAACTGTTATGGTTGCATGTCCACTCTGCTCCTCAAAGCCTTTGCAAACCAAATGAAGGAATGAGAAATGGACTATTTACTCCTGGGGAACCAGTACGACCAAGAGATGAAATAATCTGTGAAAGTTTGGAGGAAACTCTGTTAACATTTGGAGCAAGATAACTGTCCTCTGGAGACAGCTCAGAAGTAGGAGAACAAAGTTTCAGATGATCTCCAGCCATAATCCTTGGTCCTAGGGTGATATATTCACAGCTGTATAAATCAACTTTGTTGAGTGAGGATAAAGACTGGGAACAGGATGGCATATCCCTCCCAGGGTAATATGGCAAAGGTCGAGGAGGTTTGCAGTTGTCATTCAAATCCCTAATCAGTTGATTCAAGAGAAGCAGAAGGAAGACTACTCTGGGTGGGCCTGGCCTAATCAGGCGCAGGAGTCAGAACTGAGACAGTCAACGAGAGAGATTAGAAGCAGCAGAGACACAGCCCGGTTGCCTTGAGGAACCAAAATGCCTTGTATAGAAGATCACCCTTTAGCTGAATCGTAACTGTCCCCCTAATCCTCACCTCCAGCTGGACACTAAACCTAATCCAAACCATAATCCGAATCATATCTTTAATGCTAACGTCAACGTTTATGCTAAACTCAACCCTAAACCCAACCTGAACCTTAAATCTAACACTAATCCTGCCTTCAACCGAAATTCGAACCTTCAATCTAAACCGTCTGTCAATTCATCCATCTATCCACCTGTCCATTCACATGTGTGTCCTTTATCCACCCCCCCATTAAGCCATCTACCCATCTATCCATCCACCAACCCATCTGTCCACTCATCCATCCACCCATTAACCCACTCCTCAGCTCTCCACTGACCCATCATCTACTTTTCTCTCATCCATCCATCCACTCCCTTGAATACGCCTCTTGAGTCATTATTCAAAACAACTCTTCCTTCCACCAGGGGGCGCACCCACCACCCTAATGAACTCAAGAAGGAGCTCCACCAAATCCATCCTCTGGTCTGGCCTTGAAGCCAAGGTCTTGAGAGTCAGTGAATCCATTATGTGTCCTCGGCAAATACGTCAGCCCCACAGTTCCTGATAAACAGTATCCAATTTAGGAGAATTGCCCTGTGCAGCTTTCTCATTGGGTAATTATTTATCCTGGAACTTTATTATTATTATTAATTTATTTATTTTACAGATGGCTCTCCCCCTCCCCCCCAGAGACCATCTTCCTGATCCCCGCCCCCAGCATTGTTGTCTATGTCCATTGGTTATGTGTACATGCATATAAGTTCTGTGGTCTATCTCTTCCCTCCCCCCACCCCCTCTTCTGAGTTTTGTCAATCTGTACCCCACATCCATGTCTCTGGGTCTACTCTGCTCATCAGTTTGTTTTGTTCATTATATTCCACAGATAAGTGAGATGGTGTGATACTTGTCTTACTCTGATGGGCTCATTTCACTTAGGAT